AAAGAAGTAGGACCTACCACTCAGTGACACCCTCCAACAGCCCACATATCAGTGACACCCTCCAACAACCCACATGCAGTGACAACCCTCAACCACCCACATATCAGTGACAACCCCCAACCACCCATAATATCAGTGACACCCTCCAATCACCCACATAAAAGTGACACCCTCCAACCACCAAAAATATCCGTGACAACCCCCTACCACCCACACATCAGTGACACCCTCCAACCGCCCGCCACAAGAGTGCACAATCACAGTGAGGAAACGTAAGTCGCTGTGGCACACATCAGACACAGCGCCACGACAAACATCAGGACAGAAAACTCTTGTTCAACCCTTTTTCTACCAAGCGCAAACATTTTACTGTCTTTCTTCACAACATGCCGTCTCCTTTTTCTCCTCCTCCTCATCCTCCTCCTCCTTCTTCTTCTTCTTCTTCTCCATCATCATCACCGCCTCCTCCTCCTCCTCCTCCTCCTCCTCTTTGTTGTTGTTGTTGTCTTCTTCTTCTTCTTCTTCTTCTTCTTCTTCTTCTTCTTCTTCTTCTTCTTCTTCTTCTTCTTCTTCTTCTTCTTCTTCACAACAATCGCCTCCTCCTCCTCCACCTCGTCTTCCTCCTACTCCTCCTTCAAGAGTCGGATCTGAAACCAACATCGGCAATCATGGTTCGCCATCCAATTCCCTGCTCGGGTACTCTATCAATCAAACAATACGCTATCATAGTCTTTCCCTATCTCCATTCTATTTAAGTTCTACAAGTGTACATTATTCTTGGTCTTCCTCTGACTGCTTTGCAACAAACAATAAAATGCAGATGTCAAGACACAAATCAAATCAAGTTCTCACTCTAAGAATAGAGTCTAGTGGAGTTTGAGTCAAAAGAAGCACATATTTTCACACCTTTTCCAACATCTAAATGAAAAGAAACAAAGCAAATGCGCCATAAATACAACGGAATATGCACAAATTCAAGTTTTCAAAGGTCTCGGAAACTAAATATATGACGTACAAGTTTAATCTTTTGAAAGGAATTTAACACCAAGAAATAAGAGAGTGAACGAGAGAGAGAGAGAGAGAGAGAGAGAGAGAGAGAGAGAGGGGGAGGGAGAGAGATGAGGGAGGGAGAAGGACAGAAAGAGGAGACCGAGAAGGGACAGAGACAGAACGTGAGAAAGAAAACATAGGACCACAAACTAAACTGAAAGTCGTTAACACATAATTATACTTTACCTTTTCAGTAAGAAACGTGGACTCGACCCCTGACCTCACACACCTCAGTTCATTGTCTAGTGATGTAACTCCAGTGAATGTATGCCGCTGTCAGGTAGCGATAGACGCTAGACGGGTCACTCGTGCAACACGCATCATTTGTAGGAGATCTAGAGATGGTTTGATCGAAAGCAGAGAGGAGGGGCGGGGGTAGGCCGTGCGCTCCAGCGGCCGAGCCTGTATGACGAGGGTACGTTCACCTTGACAATTAGAAAGCCAAGATAACACTACTAACTGTGTCAGTCACTGCAGGAGATGGACGAAGCTGGCGTAAAAACTGTGGCAAAGTTCTTAGGAATGTGACACCGATATTAACTCTTATAGAATATACCGCAGTTTATTCCTCCTTCGTCCGCAGTCAGGTTTGTCATCTAGTAAGTTTTCAACACCACAGACTTCATATAACTCTGCTCCTATTTAACCTAGATATCTATGCATAGAATAAACATTAAATTGAGAAGAAGCGAATGATGTAAGCAGTGAATGCACATTCTGATTATGGATAAGATGGACTTGGCGGAGTAAGGTTAGATCTAATTGTTGTAATAACTGAAAACAACCGAGTGATGCCGTAAGCCAGCTGAACTGAATAATAATTCTAAGAGTTAAGTGTGCCGGATGGCGTTCACTCGTGGTGTACACTGCGCGCAGACTCGGGATCTTCACTGCCCACCGATCCCCCTCACCGTCCCCTGTCTGTCTCCCACGCTCCAGTGCGGGTGGCTGGAGGGTGTCACTGGTGGTGGAAGCAGGTCCTACTTTTTTTCTTTCCCCGCTGCTGTTTCTGTCTGTGAAAAGTGTAAGTGTGTTTGTGGGGTTAGAGGGTGTCACTGATTGAATGTACAGATCTACTACTTCCTTTCTTTCCCTGCTGTTGTTTCTGCCATTGTGTGTGCATGGTTGGCTGGATGATGCCGTTGGTTGATTTTACTTTCCCCACAGTCGTTTCTCTCTCTCTCTCTCTC